AAAAAAATTCCCGTGCATATTCTCTTGGTTTCTGAGGGTAGAAGAGAAAGGAAAGAAGACGAGACAGAGGGAAGAAAACAATACATATGTATTTCTTGCTGGTAACTTAGTCATTCTGGTATCTACAACCAGATTTTAAAGGAAATATCTTGCACATTGTAAGGGATTGGCAGGGAAGGAGAGGCTATTGCTCTTTTTCCCTTTACTGAATTGTAACTTGGCTGAGGCAAGAATGCAGAATAAGATTATAGATAGATGATATGTTGGGATGTGCAGAACTCCAATATGGAACTCTACTAAAGCAAATACTTCGTTAGAAACACCTTTAAGGGTTTGCCAAGTGAGAGTTTCTTCTACCACAGTGAATACAATATTAGAGATTTGAAAACTGAAAAGATAATCTGGCTTCTCTGAATAACATTTATAATCAACCAGCATGCTGTTAAGTAGAAATTGATATCATATATATACAATAGATAGGTTATCAAATATATTTCCTTTTGCATAATTTATCTTAGTTTAATATGGAGTTTATTTTTATACAAAAAGCAAAGATAATTTTATAATAACCAAGTAGGCATTTTAGATAAGCTACTAGCTGAACATGAGAGTGGCCAACACCAGGTCTTTGTTCTTCAAGGCATCACACCCTTCATAAAATAAAAATTTGGCACCTCAATCATGCCAACAGTAAGTTAGTTTATTGGTTATGGATAGTGACTATGATGTCAAATTGTTTGCGTTCAAAAAGCAGCACAACTATTTATTTGTGCTGTGGTCTTTAATCCACTACTTAACTTCTCAGTGCCTCAGTTTCTTCATCTGTAAAGTAATTAAAATAAGATTATACTTTCACAGGATCTTTGTGAAGATTAAGGGAGATAAATCATATAAAGACATAAACACACACAAACAAACACAATACATTTTAGTTCATTTTTTAGCCATAGTAATTCTCCTAAAAGCCAGGCAAAGTAAGTATATATGATACCAATTTCACAAACAAGGAAACAAGTTCAGACACACTAAGTGACTTGGCCAAGATTAAATTTAAAAGATTAAAACCCTGTTTTTCTTGCCCCAAACCCTATAAATCTTTCACTATACCACACTTGTTCTCATGACAACTATTGTACATAAAGTATCTAAATCTAAGGATTTAGAAAACAACTAGCTTCTAATTAGGTGCATCATGCACTTGACAAGTAGGTGTTCAATAAATATAAGACAAGATACTGACTGAATGAATAAATATAAACCTGCAATTCTAACCTGGATTGTCCTCTTGCCCACTATGCCTGATTTATTCTTGAATGTGTATATTTTTCATTTGCCCCTTCATTTGTATATTTTTAATTCCTATTTTCCTCCTCCTTCCTCTAATTGCTGATTCAAATTCTACACATTCATATTTATCAAGGACCTCTACTAGACTTTACCTTGATATTTCCCACAACTTCATGAGTGTTGCTAGAGATGTATATCATCTGTGTTATTATTTTTTAATGTTTTTCTTTAAATCAATGCACTTCTTATTCTTAAATTTGTTTGAAAAATAAACTACCATAAAAGAAAAACCAGTTTTGCTTGGCATAAATAAACAATAGCTGTAAAAATCACTACTATGTAAATAAAAAAATAAAATTCTAGCTACAGTTTGTTCTTTGCTTGAGGCTCAGCTTGAGACATGCTTGCTCTTTAATAAAATTAACTATTATAAGCAAATGTTAGATATTAACGATATATGTGCATCCAATTAAAATTTTAGAATTTTCTCATTCAAATAACCAAGTAAACTGCAAGAAAGCTGAAAAGGAAACAACTTTCTCATCAAATGTTTCAATCTTATTTAATGCTGCTTTCTGGTACTACCTTATAGAATCTCTCACACAACAATCTAGAAAACATTAGTTTATCTAATTACCCACCCAGCTTCAATATTATTTTGTGAATTGCACATTTTGTCTATGAAACTTATTTTTGGACTTAATTATAACATTTCTCATATGCTATTTAATTAGTTTATGTCATTTCAAGTAGGCAGATACAAGAGGACTCCTCAGGATGATAAAGTCTTAGTCACAAGTCATGGTTTAGCCAGATGAGAAGTAATCTCGTGTCTAATGACTCAGTCAATGCCATATGGAGAAAGGATGAAAAGAATTTGAATTGGTTATAATAAATTATTCAACAGCAAATCAGTAGAGAATTATATATCAGAATAGATGTATATATTCTTTCTCTTGTACCTGTTAATGATATTATCATGTTCTCTGTGTAAGTTTGTTAGTTAGAAATATTCTGCAATATCCTTTGTGAGATAAGAATATTTAACAAAGTTATTTGTCGTATTGCTGTTCAAGATTTCTGATTTAAAAACTAAATGCTTGAGCAAAGTTTAACTTTGGATTAATGTGATTAGCATTTCAAAATTCATTTGCATTTCATAAGACTTCAATTTCATATTCAAAAATCAAACTCAACAAACAGATTGCCAACCACCTTGACTAAATTTTGGGTCCTTACTAAACATCTCAGTTTGAGAATGGTTAACTAAGCACACTGCTAATTTGTATTTGACTTTCCTGAGATTCTTTGTAGATCAAAGCTCGGCCTTTTCTCAAAACACGTGTTTTATGAAAGTTATAAATAATAAACAGGAATAATTGAAAATGTCTTCACTCATTAATTCTCACAACTTTAACCATATTCCATAGCACTCATCTTTACCAAGCTTTTGTATCCACAGAACTGAGTCCAAATTTGAAAGTTGTATTTATATGGAAACATTTTATCATTTTTAAAATATCTTCTTGATTTCAGGGGAAAAAAGGAATATTCTATACTTGATTAAATATTTGAGACTTACAGAAATTTTTCCTCAAAATATCAATGTATTCATTAATATATATAAATGTCCAAACCTCTTACACTGTTCAATTGAAGGGTTTTGAATTGATATGTTTTATTAAGATTCAGCTACATCTTAATGTATAGTTATATTTCTTTTATTATGTTCCTCTAGAATTATTACACATTTTTGAAGGCTAAAAATATTCAAAGAAAGGATAATCAGAAGGTTTTGTCTTCTCAATGAAGTCTGTCAAGCTTCCATTTGGAATAGTTTAGTGGAAGGAAAAGCTGTTTATTTTACTGAAAGAAGATGAAAACTAGAGTTAACAGACCTGGCCTATATACCTGGTTCTTTCCTTAAGAAAGTAATTTTACTGCTCTCAGCTAATGTTTACAGATCTGCAAAATGGAAATATAATATTTCCTTTAGAGATATCAACTAATAATATGAAACTGATCATAAAAGTCGCTTGCAAATAGTAACTATAGTTATCCAACTAGGAAATTTTAAATAAAGTATTCATTTTTCTTTAAAAATTGAAATCAGCTAGGTAGAATTTTTTTTTACATTATTATTTTCTACTGTCATTCATTATATCCATATGTTTCTACTGGTAAGCACTGGAATCACTTCTCTGAACAAGATAAGAAGTCTGCCCCCATGGAGTTACTTCCTGACAGAAAGTAATAATTTTTTAAAGACAAAAGTAAAATGTGGTAGTAATAAAAGTACTGTTGAATGAATGAAGCAATGAGATGGAATTATGTGAAAAGGTCTGGGGAAACAATTTAGGTGGTTGGGGAGACTTCTCTGAACAGCGACTTCTGAGCAGAGTCAGAGAGCAAGAGAAGAAGGAAGGAAGGAAGGAAGGAAGAAAGAAAGAGAGAGAGAGAGAGAGAGAAAGAAAGAAAGAGAGAAAGAAAAGAAAGAAAACCTCAAAGCAGAAAAGGCCTTGTGCCTTCAATCTGCCACAGCAAAGCCACGAGTTGGAGTACAGTGAAACAGAGCCTGAATGGTTGGAGATGAGTTGAGGAGTAATAGGAGCCATTGGAGCAGTGAAGTTTAAATTTAAAAAGATTTTCCTAAGCAGCTATTGCAAGTACTCAGGGGAGAGATACAGGTGCTGGGTGGACAGTAGCAGAAAAGGTAGTGAGACTTGTTTGAATTTGGAATACATTTTGAAACTAGAGCTGATAAGGGTGAGACACATAGGCGACTCAAGAAAGGCTTCTAACGTTTTGTTTTGTGCGACTGGAAAACAAATAGCACCATGTATTGATCCAAGAAAGCAAGAGACAGATTTCAAGATAACAGTCAAGAGTTCTGTTTTGGGCATGTTAAATTTAAGGTACTGATATAGAGAGTAAAGTGAATATACAAAGGAAGCAAGTGGACTTTTAAAAATGTCATTATTGGGCTTTTATTTGTTCCAAAATTATTTTCTGTATTTTTCATATGCCAAGTCTTGAAAATGCTCCATGGACTCAAAGGTGTTGAAGTGATCTTTGATTATAATTCTTTCAAGTGACTTTCTTTGCAGAAACCTTTCCTAGACTATATCATAAAATAATTCCTTACATTTTAAAAGTATCTGTCTGAACTTTGCTGCATATTCCCCAGGTCATGAGATGCACCATGACTTAGTAGGATTACGACACATGGCAGCCCCATTCATTAAGCACTTACTGAAGGATTTTTGTTTTCTATGTTATCTCAGGATATTCAAGGTGTGAGGTTATACCAGATCCTATAAAGCAAGACTCAGCAAACTATCGCCCACAGGCAAAGTTGAATACCTGACTTTTTCAAAATAAAGTTTTATTGGCACACAGTTATTCCCATTCTTTAAATATTGTGTATGGCTGCTTTCACATCAAAAGGCAGAGTTGAATAGTTATGACAGATATTTATGGCCCGCAACACCTAAAATGTTCGACCCTTAAAGAAAAAGTTGGTTGAACCACTTTTTCTTAAAAACCTTCTAGGAAGTTTCCAGTAATCATGAAGAATCATGATTTTATGATTTGAAAACAGTGAATCAGAAATGAGCCAAAATTCATACTCATTTACCACCTGAAACAATTGTGAGAATAGATCTGATATACAACATTTAATTGTATTTTTTTTTCTTTTTTTCCCTCTAAAGCTGAGACTCAGAGTTCAATTAAAACAACAAAAATACCAGGTAAGTTCTCTTTTCTCTCTCTCTTAGTATTTTCATGGGTAAAATTTCAAGAATAAAACAAGTTACAACAATCAGTTTGGGGGCAGGGAGAAATAGCACAAGGGAAAACATTACATCACAAATAAAATGTTTAGAAAAACTTGAGTTTAAAAAAATGCAGACCAGGAGAACTTATAAAGACATTTCTGAGTGTTCTGTGACTAAGGTGAGTGGAGCCAGCTCTAGCAAATGTATAAAGCGTGTGAAATTGCCCTCTGTCCTCTGTCCTCTGCCCCCGAACCCACTGTTCTTGATCTGTTTCTGTTGTCAGTGTGCCCTCTCCCAGAAGTACAAAATGTCTTCTCTTACTTTCTAATAAAATTTGGTTGTAGTATTGAAAAAGATGATGTTAGAAACTACAGTTAACAATCTAAAATGTTATCATTCCAGTTAGTGCTCGTATTTGCCACCCTTAGTTTTAGACTGAATGTGTTTCTGATAATGGAGCAACAGGAATTGAAAATCGTTGGGCACGGGAAGATGGCAATGTGGTGTCTTCTTGTTTTGAAATCATAGTTATCTGAGGGATTTTTATCTTTCTACATCCTACCTGGTACTCATACAAATGACAAATCTCATGAGCTTTCAATGCTGGTTATCTTTGGTATATGGAAACTAAATGAAAACTAACACAGGAACAGAAAACCAAATTCCGCATGTTCTCACTTATAAGTGGGAGCTAAATGATGAGAATTCATGAGCACAAAGAAGGAAACAAGAGAAACTGGGGTCTACCTGAGGGTGAAGGGTAGGAAGAGGGAGAGGAGCATTAAGAATAACTATTGTGTACTAGGCTTAATAACTGGATGATAAAATAATTGGTACAACAACCCCCCATGACACGAGTTTACCTATATAGCAAACCTGCACATGTATCCCTGAGAATAAAATTAAAGTTTAAAAATGAAAATAAACTAAAAATGTGAAATAAACCTATAGGTTCATATAACTTTTTAAAAATTACAAAAATGAAAAGAATTATGAGTGACATTAAAAATTATGAGTGCTCCATTTTCACAGCAAATATTCTAAATAATCACCTTAGCCTAACTTCTACCTCTTGTGTTCAAGGAATTTGAATCAAATTATTATGCTTTTAACTTTTAATAATTATCTTCTTCTGTATCATATATCTCATTATTAAAGAAGTTATTTTTATATTATTAATTCCCTTTACTCCACTAAACACCATATTTTTTATTCACTAATCACCATATTTTTTATTACTTCCATCTTCATAGGCTAAAAATTGGCAGGCTCTAGAGGAAAAAAAGCAAAACAAAACAAAAACAATGCTTCCAGTGTGAGAAGACTGATGCAGTTCTGGGAAGAGATTTTCTTTCCCCTCTGCTTCATAGATTGATTATCAAGGAGAAGTCAGAGATGAAGAATTGGGAAGCAGCCAAATTGTCAGTTCTCTTTAAGGAGAGACTGAAGGATCCTTCATTTTGTTTATAGAAATTTTATTTACAAAGTGCCAGCTATAAGTTTAATTGATTTTAGTTGAATAAAAAGCTCATTTAGGCTATTTTTATTTTTCGAGTTATATAAACTAATTTTCCTAAGCCAAATAATAGACAAACAATTTATTTGAATAGTGGATTAGAAAGAAATGAGACTGGTTCTATAAACCACTTGAAAATTGAGTCTCATTTTTTTCATTCAAACTTCAAATATGTATTTCAGCTAAAGACTAAATCAGAAACACCATCCCCCAAAAGATGAATTAACACATTTATTAACAGGGCATTCTTTATACTTCTGTGTTTTGTTTTTTTTTTTTCAGATTAAAGACTTCTTTAGTTTTATGTATTTGGCATCAAAGATGTTAAAATACCAAATTTGTGGAATATTCATCCATAGGATTAAAGACAGGCATATTATTTAAAATAATTCATATTTCTGTTTTAGGTAGAAGTTGACATAAAATTGTAGCCCATAGAATTACTAGTCCTGTTTCCTTTCTATAAATATAAGCAAATATGTATTCAGTCTTTGAATGTATCACATACAGTTCTCACATTTGATATTTTCTTTAACATTATGCAGCTAGTTTTAATTTCCTTGAAAAGTTACATTTTTACAACGACTTCAAAAACTATTATTAAGAGTCCAGAAATTGATGATGATTTTATGTGGAACCTTTCTGGGGGATAAAAATAAGTAAGGATTCTATATAAAATGTAAATTACAACCAATTATACATAGATATAATATTTTAACATTATAAAACAAAAATAGATCCATGTTGGTGACATCAGCAAGATGGCCAACTAAAAGCTTCTAGTGCTCTTCCCACTTCCCACAAAAAACTAAAAATAATGAACAAGCAACTACATTTTGATCAAAATAACTAAAGGAAAGCTCTGGAGAACAGCAGCAGAAATCCTGTGGACCACTGAAACACAGGATAGCCACATAGGAAAGAGGAGGAAACACCTTGCCTCTGCCATCCCATTTCCCTAGTTGGGATCAACTCAAAACCAGAAGAGACCCCTTTCTGCAGGAAAAAGGTAAGCAAGAGGACCCCAACAACCACCATCATCGCCATGGACACACGCAGTCTTCGCACTAAAGACTTCTGCAGTCCTTATAGGGTTTGAGGCCTGCTGAAGGAGTGCCCCAGAGTCTACATACTGAGCTATCCCTAGAGAAGGAGCTGATGCTGTGCCCCTCCCTCCTCTTCTCAGCCCCTACCTCTTGCCTCATGGCTCATGCTGCTACTGCCCTGTACAATCTTGGGAAAAAGTGCATCCTGCTCCAAGCCTGAGTATGCATTGCATCCCTCCATCCCTGATGTTTTGTTACTACTGCAACAAGCCCACATTATAGCATACCATCCTCCAGCCAAGCTGCTACTATGTCCTACCCCCAGGGCCAAGTTCCATGGAGCTACTCCACTCCCTACATTCCAATTACTGTGCACCCTCCTCTTAGGGCTGAACTGAAATGGCACTCCAACAATCAGGGACCTCAGGTCTTCTGCACACCAGAGCAGTCATGCCCGTCAATGCCATAGATGAGGCAGCATACCCCACCACCACCATCTGGGATCACAGACTTCTGGCACACTAGAGCAGTCAACTCTCAGCCCTGGCTCCACAGAGAAGACAGCATACTACCCACAGGGGCTCAGAGCTTTTGACACACAAGAACAATTGCACACCCCAGTGCCATAGCTGATGCAGTACCCTACCCCACAGGGATCCAGAGGCTCCACTGACACGTATGACCATGATTTCTGGGGCCAAACAGATGTGGCACAACACATCCCAAAGAATTAGTGCCTGGCTTGAGCTGTGGCACCCTGCCCTCCAGGCTGAACAGCCACATGCCCTGCCCACCCAAAACTGCACTACACCCCTACAGTCTGAACTGCTGAGACATGCTGCCTCTTGGGGAAGTGGAGTTGTGCTGCACCCCTCCCACCAAGGTCCAAGGTACAGCAGTGTCTTGCCATTTCTGCGTCATTGCTGCTGCTGTACCTGGCCTCACAGAGCCTGGGGTAGTGATATGTCCCACCATTCCAGGGTCCAGAGTCACCACTACGTAGTACCTCATCACCAAGTGTCTACATTTTTGCTGACCTCTGTTGACTACTGGTCCCAAATTACAGCTATTCTTTGCTCTCTGGACCCAAGCTTCTAAAAACTCCTTTTTCTACCATGCTGTACCAGTGGGGTGCCATGTCCACTAGGGTCACAACCTCAACTATATTTCAGCACTCTGGGCCTAGGCTGCTGAGGTGTGCCTCAGAGGAACAGACCCTGCCTTACTGGGGAAACTGCATTCATTTGTATCTTGGAAAGTGAAACTGTGCCTCAAGTCCAAGGTGCTACAGTAGTCTCACAAGACCCTGAGCCCATGACCTATATCCACAGCTACTCTGATCACCTGTGTCCTGGCTCCTAGTCCTGCTATGGTTGCCTGTGGGCCATATCAGACCAAACACAAAAATGGTTCTCTTCAACTAAGACTCCCCACTGTGGGAAAGACAAGAACAGGAGAATTGTTAAGACTTTGCCCTAGCAACCTATGCAGCCACTATCACTTCCACCAGCTCCTACAAACTAGGCCACTGAGGCACCTACATTCATTGCTGACATTGATCACAACTAAAGAAGCTGCACATTGATTACCCCACTGTGCCTACATGTAACCAGAGCCACCCTGCCCAACTGGAAGCCTCAGACCCATATGCAACTGAAAGTCTTCCCCTACTAGAGTTTGAAAAAGGAAACTACATCACTAAATATGCAGACATCAATGCAGGGACACAAGAAACATGAAAGAGCAAGGAAGCATGGTAACAAGGCAAACCATAGTTCTCCAATAACTGCCTCAAAGAATGCAGAAATTACAAAACGGTCGAAAAGCGATTGTAAAGTTAGATGAGCTGGGCTGTGTGGCTCGATGCCTCGTGATCCCGGCACGTGGAAGACGTGAATGGGGGGTAGGATGACGTTGAAGTTCGAGGAGGCAAAACGCAGCGCTGGGCCGCAACCATGGCAGAACCTTGCTCGTCACTAGAAAAGCGAAAAAATTAGCCGATGTCGGTGTGTGCCCGAGCCGTAATGCCAGGCTACGTGACCTGAGGCAGAGATTATCTGGAATCCTGGAAGAGGTGGGGAGATTGGCGAGTGAGCTGCAAGATCACGACCACGTGCACTCTACCCTGCATGACGAGTGAGACTTCTGTCTCAAGAAAAAGTAATAAAAATAAAATGAAAATAAAATAATAACTGAAGGGAACTTGGAAAGTTCAAGAGAATAGCAAATAGACAAATTTATGAAATCAAAAGACGAATTAGTGTATGAATATTTAGGGAAAGTTCAGATGAAAAGTGATAGACATAAAAAGATCCAAACAGAACTTTGGAAAGCTGAGAATTCGAGTTTTCAATGAAATGAAAAAAATATATGGAGAACTTCAAGGAGCAGGACTATGACACATCCAGGAG